CCACCCCTGGGAACCTAACAACTACACCTGCACCTACTAGAATGTTGATTGGGGACTTTCCATCTCCCTGAGTCCTTGTGAGTGTTCTCCAAATAAAGCTCCGCTCCTGGAATTGGGACAAGATAACTCTCAGATGTCCACAGGTGTTTTGACTCAGTCCCTGGGAAGGGGTCAAAGTAGCCCTCAAATGTTTCCTCTTACCTCACCTGATCTGGCAACTGCTCTCCAGTCCTGGCTCAGACCAATTATTGTTTTTGTTATCTTTTAAATATTTATTTATTATGTATACAATATTCTGTCTGTGTGTATGACTGCAGGCCAGAAGAGGGCACCAGTCCTCATTACAGATGGTTGTGAGCCACCATGTGGTTGCTGGGAATTGAACTCAGGACCTTTGGAAGAGCAGGCAATGCTCTTAACCTCTGAGCCATCTCTCCAGCCCCCAGACCAATTATTGTTAATTGCACTTTGAATAAGCCAATCCTAACAGTTGAAGAACAACCCCCGAGTCCCCCCACCCCTTGTTTCTATGGCTTTTTACTTTAAAAGCAGCTTGTAACACTCATTCGAGGTCTTTTGGCTTCTCGAATGCTGAAAGACCCTGTGGCGACAGAATTAAATGCTCTTGCTTTTACATCAACTGCGGTGTGAGAATGGTCTCTTGGGGCAACTCCTCCTCGGTGACTGGACTTCAGGGTCCAACAGCCATGAGAGAAAAAAAAGAAAAAGAATACAGCTGTGCTAGCCAAGTGGTGTGCCTTGTGACCCTGACACAGAGAAGGCTGAGGCAGGAGTCCTGCTGCACAGCAAGGTCATCTGAAGCAGAGGTTATAGAGGAACACTGCTTGCTGGCTTGCTGCTCAGATTGTCTACCTTTCCTCTCATTTCTTTTTGTTTTTGATGTTGTTCTTTTTTGTTTTGTTTCACTGTGTAGCTCTGAAACTCCTGGCTGTCCTGGAACTCACTCTGTAGAACAGGCTGGCTTTTAACTCAAAGAGATCTACCTGCCTCTGCCTCCTGAGTGCTGGGATTAAAAGTATGTATCACCACCATCTGGCTCAGCTACAATTGTTTTTATACTTCCCAGAACGATATGCCAAAGAGAAGCACCACCCACAGTGTGCTGAGCCCTCCTACATCAATCATTAATAAAGAAAATGCCCTCACAGACTTGCCTATAGGCAAATCTGATAGAGACATTTTCTTAATTTAAATTCCCTCTTCCCAGATGAACCTAGCTTGTGTTAAATTGACAAAACAAAACAAAACAAAAAGCCAGCTGGACATGGTGGCATACTCCTTTAATCCCAGCACTCAAGAGGCAAAGGCAGGCAGATCTCTATGAATTCAACGTCATCCTGGTCTACATAGCGAGTTCCAAGACAGTATGGCTACATAAAGAGATCCGAACTCACAACAATAAAACAACATCAAACTAATCAGTATGGGGTGGGGACAGTGTGTGTCCCCAAACAATACTGGATATAGGCATTGCTCCTACTTGTCTTCCCAAACTTTATGCCAGGTAGGATCACACACTTTCGTCACAGGACAAGGAGAAATGAAGCTAGTGCTGACCTTGAAGCTTTGTCCTTAACAGCCAGCTTTAGTAGTACCAGAAAGTGATCTACAGACTGCTGTGGGGGATGGCCATCAACAGTTTTACCCAGCTGTGAACCCTGTGGGTCACAATAATGACCAGAATATGGTGCGACTGATATCCTCATGGCTGCACTACTGCCGTGAATGTTAGAGTAGCCAGCACTTTATACTGAATTTAAGGCCTTTCCACAGGAGGAAACCAGGTACCCTGATACAGTAATCTAGCCATAAACTCATGGCTAGTGAGGTGACAAGCCCTGGAAGAGAATTCAGAGAGCATTCCAGCATGGCCTGAGGGGAGGGGCTCATAAGCTTCTACCCCTAGCTAAGGAGCTATTACTGCTAGGGAAATATTCTACTTTGCTTTCTATTGCTGCAATAAACACCCTAACCAAAAGCAACAGAGGAGAAGGTTTATTTCATCTTAGCACTTACAGTCCAGCATGGAAGAAAATCAGGGCAGGAGTGCAAACAGGAACCTGGAGCAGGAACTAAAGCAGAGGTCACAGAGGAACACTGCTTACTGGCTTGTTCAGCTTATACAACTGAGGATCATCTACCCAGGGTTGTCACCATCTCACAACAAACGAAAGTCAAGAAACTGTGATGGAGGTGTTTCTCAATCTGTTCCCTCTTCCCAGAAAAACTTAGCTTATGTCAAGACAACAAGAAAACTAACCAGCACAGACAGTCAGCTTTCTTTAGGGGCCTGGCCCCTGGTAGACTGAGTGTTCCAGGGGATGGCTTCACAACTATGCACACATGTGCAGCACAAATTGTCTCAGCAGTTACATTTTAAGGGGAAAATAAAGAGGACATGAAACTTGGAGATGGGGGAAAAGGGGATCCAAGAGTAGTTTGAGAGGGGAAATAAGAGTAAACATGATCAAAATACACTGTATACAACTGTGAAATATCAAAGAATAAACTAAAATTCACAGTTAAAAGGTAATTCATAACATGGTTTTTATGTGTTATTAAAACTCTATGTTGACTACATTGCTTTGATTAGACTACTACAGCCTCAGAAAAGGTAATTTCCCTTTTGTCCCTTCCTGAGCCTATGAACCCTGCTTAGGAACCAGGACCTTCTAACAACATACTCTATCAAGGCATGCTTCTTCACCTTCATCCTGCCGTCCTTTGCAGCAGTCCACCAGGACTCTAGGAAGCTGGAAGGAGAGGGCATTGACCAGCCCTTCCACCACCACCCACACCCACTCATAAGCTCAGGCATGTACACACACGACACATGTACACAGCCCTGACACAGCTAACTCCATACATTCTTAGTCTGGCCTTCCTGCTGGCAAGAGTACAAAAGGCTTCGGCCTCACACTAGGATATGGGAGTTTCCTTCCTCAAGAGAAAATCAATTCAGAAACCAAGACAGGCTCTCAAAAGTACCCTTTCCAGCCTAGTGCAACCACTCTCCAGGACTGGTTTTTGTGGTCAGTCATCAGGGACTCCATGTTGCTGCCTCAGCACACTAGCTTCCTCTCTCCCTCCAACCCCACTTCTCAGGAACAAGCTGCACTTGCAGGCTCTATTCCAGCCCAAGAGTGCCTGGTTTTCCAACCTTGATACTCTTCTAAAACAAACAAACAAACAAACAAAACAAAACAAAAATTCACCACTAAAGAGCTTTTATTGATGCAGCCTGTAAACCACTAACATTCATAATGCCAGAAATCAAAACGAAATTTAAAGATACTTATTAATTTCACCAATTAAACCTGCAGCACATTAATATAAATAAAACTTTTAAGTAAGAAAAAAATTACTGTTGAACAAAAAATAAAAATTTTACACCTTTCTACCACTCTAATGGGCTCGGTAGTGGGCAGCCAGGTCTCAGGTTTGCCTCTGCAGTTAGTCTGATAGCCACCCTCTCAGATATTACACATGCCTCTGCAGTTAGTCTGATAGCCACCCTCTCAGATATCACACAGTGTTAAAACCATGCTGATCTCACGGCAATACAGGCAATACAACGTGAGACAGGAGAAGGAGGCTCAAGATAAGCTTTCCATTAGGACATTTCAAGGTCAAATGCAGATGGATGTGAACTGTATTTGTAGACTCTTAATTTACAATAGTGATATATTTTCTTTTTACAATTCCACAGTCCTATGAGCTTAACAGAAATTATATTAAGTATTTTATAGGCAATGGTCTGGGGGAAAACTCATCGCTCAGAATGTCATAGCTATAAATATACAGACCCTGGAACTACAGCAATACTTCTCTCTTCTGCTTGAGCTTACTTCTTTTTATCTTGTGAAAAATACATCAAAAATCCTAACTAAACAAAAACAGTAAGTTCTTTAAAAAAAATACTAAATTCTTAGTCCATTTAAAAAACTAATTTGAAAATTTTATACTTTTAAAGTTGAACAGAAAATATAAAAATGAATTGAATTAAAAAGAAGAATGTATTTTTAGTTTTTAATTATGCAACATCTTTTAGGAAGCTTACATTTTACACAAAAGGAGTTAAAATTTACTGAAACCTATTATCAGCACTCAGATTCATTATAAAAGTAGACAAAATTTCTTTCTCTCTCTGTCTCTCTCTTTCTCTCTCTCTCTCTCTTTTTGAGACAAGGTTTCTCTGCAGCCCTGGCTGTCCTGCCACTCAACTCTATAAATCAGGCTGGCCTCAAACACAGAGATCCACCTGCCTCTGCCTCCCAGGCACTAGAATTATAAGATTAATGGCGTGTACCATCACCACTGGCTACAATTTCTTAAATATGTACACATTAACAAAGTTGCTAATATTCTAGTCTTAGATGGCACTCTGCTACTGGACAGGACGACACACATATAGACAGCCCGGCATCCAATGTTATCCTTGAAAACTCTGTAAGGAACACAAGCAATCACACAGAAACTCCTCAAATTTCACATGAGAATCCCAAATAAAATTATCAAATGTATTTTAAAATAATAAACCTCCTTTAAAAATACCCAAGCATTTCACATTATTAATTTCAACTGAACAATGCCCATGTCTTAATTTTCTTGTTCTACTAAAGAAGCACTATGGAAGCTTCCATATCCAAGCATAACATATCATATGATCATAACACACCAGACTGAATTATGAAAAAATAAGATAAACTTAAATAATGTTTATTCAGGGCTCTGAATGGTAAATCATTTTACGAATATAGGAAATAAGCTATGTTTAAGCCATTTCTTCTAATGCTATAGCCAAGTAGACAGGTAATTGATTTTTTTTCACATTTGCGCTTCCTGAATAGAGAAGTTACGTGCCTGTTCTAAATATAACATTATCTGAAAATTGAGAAACCCACAGCAAGAATTCACTACTCAAGTCATGCCAAAAAGTACGAGACTATTTTACAGAAATATCCATACATTTATCTTACCTCTGTTTCTGTACAATGTGAATATCCCAATTTACCTGTAATAGAAATACAAAAAGTTACTTTCAAATGATTGAGGGGTTTTAAAGTCATCAGTAATATGTTCAAGCAACTATAGTCACAGCTTAATTAAATATGTGAAAACAACAAATGGCAGGATAATTTTTTTTCATGTACAAAGTTGTTGGTTCGTTCATTCAGTTACCATGCTGGCTGCATACTCATAATCCTAGAACTCAAGATGCTAGAGAGGAAGATCACTGCAGGTTCTGAGATGGCCTGGTCTACAGAGCAAGGTCCAGGACAACCAGGACTTACAAGACTGTCCCAAAAAAGAAAGACATTTTTAAAGAAAAAGAAAACACTGCATTTATGATCAAAAGAAGGGGGAAGGGGAAAAATCCATACGTGGTTGGTGCACACCTTTAATTCCCAAGGCAGAGGCAGATGGATCTCTATAAGTTCAAGGAGGCTGGCCTACATAGTGAGTTCCAGGTCAGTCAGGGTTATACAGTGAGACAATGTCTCAAAAATGCAAACAGACAACAGAGAGAAAGGGGGACAGACAGACAGTCATTGACGGACTCTTGGGCTGAGGCAGGAAAATCTAGTTTTTGGCCAGCATGAACTAGGGAGTGAGGCCTTATATCAAAACAAAACAACAAAAAAGAAGAAAGAAACCCCTTGTACTGGTTGGTTGTGTGTCAAAACTTGACACAAGCTAGAGTCATCAGAGAGGAAGGAACCTCAGCTGAGGAAATGCCTCCATGAGATCCAGCTAAAGGCATTTTCTCAATTAGTGAACAATGGGGGAGGACCCAGCCCATGGTGCTATCGTTGGGCTGGTCGTCCTGGGTTCTATAAGAAAGTAGGCTGGCCGGGCAGCGGTGGTGCACGCCTTTAAGCCCACCACTCAGGAGGTAGAAGCAGGCAGATCTAGAAGTAAGTTCGAGGCCAGCCTGATCTACAAGAGCTAGTTCCAGGACAGGCTCCAAAGCTACAGAGAAACCCTGTCTTGAAAAATAAAACAAACAAAACAGAAAACAAAACCCCAGAAAAACAAACAAACAAACAAACAAAGTAGGCTGAGCAAGCGTGGGGTGGGGGTGGAGCAAGCCAGTAAGCAGCTCTCCTCTATGGCCTCCGCAGCAGCTCCTACTTCCAGGATCCTGCCCAGTTTGAGTTCCTGTCCTGACTTCCGTCAGTGATGAACAATGATGTGGAAGTGGAAGTCTAATAAACCCTTCCCTCTCCAACTGGCTTTTTGGTCATGGTGTTTCATCGCAGCAACAGAAATCCTAACTAAGACATCCCTAGAACTCAGCAACAGTTGGCGTATTTATACCAACAATAGTATTTTCTCATCAATGAGACATAATACCCAAGAACTTGTACAACCATATATTTTGTCAATTTGGGACAAAAATCATACTTTGAAAATAAAAGCTGCTACTTTAAGAGTAATTTATTTAAAAAAAACAGATAATAACTTTACATGGGGTGGCAGAAACTTTTAATTTTTCCCATCTATATTTTCCCCCTGCAATTATTCATCTGTATATGTGTGTACACAAACAGGTGCCATAGCACATGTGTGTTGAGAAGGCCTTCCACCATCCAGGTCTTGAGGGTTGAACCCAGATCATCAGGCTTGGTGGCAAGCACCTTTAATTTATTAAGCCACCTCATGAGCCCCATCTACTCATCTTACACATCACTGTCTAAGGCTTATACATGTCTGCACAGCCTTCCCTCCCAGGACTACTCTCCTAGTAACTCCTACTTCTCCCAGCCTGCTACATCTGTACCTATTCACAGTATGATTCTACCATGATTGAAATTTTTAATGATCAGAAGGATTTAGCCATCTTGCTGTTCATGGTGACATCATCCAAGAAAATAATCATAGCTGTATGCCACCCAATTCTTCAAATGAAAAGTACAGTTGAAACCACAGTTCCTTAATGCCTAATGATCTTACTATAATCCTATGTAATATAAAACAGTGCTGAAACTCAAACTAGAAAATGGGACCTTGGGTCTTGTAAAATAAAAAGTATATAAAAGCAATAAAAATTATTTGAGCATGCATACAAAATGACTTTAAGTTATAAGGCTTTTATATACCAGTGAATATATGGCATAAGTTTGTTGCTAACATAAAATTATACTCATATATGGTGATATATATTTTATTTATATAAGCATAAGACTTTTCAGACCATAATACTGTGGAGGATTACTTATAGGAGTTAAGACTTCTATAGAATTGTTAATTAATTTACCTAAGAACACCATTAGAAACAGCTCAAAGTAGAGCAGAGAGTCTACCTGTGGGGAAACACTGAGTACTCTAATCTGTAGGAGAGGAAAAGGAGGACAGGATAGCAAATTGTAACACAGAAGAAAGCAACATCCTTTAAAGAACACGGATCACATCACCAATAGGAAATAATTCTTTTTGCTTTGTTTTTTGTGACAGGGTTTCTCTGTGAAACAGCCCTAGCTGTCCTGGAACTTGCTTTGTAGACCAGTCTAGCCTCAAACTCAGAGAAATCCATCTGCCTCTGCCTCCCCAGTGCTGGGATTAAAGGTGTGTGCCACTACGGCCAGGGAAGATCTATTTATTTATTATGAATGAAACCTCTGCATGCATGCAGCATGTCTGCAGGCCAGAAAAGGTCACTAGATGTCATTACGGATGTTTGTGAGCCACCATATGGATGCTGGGAATTGAACTCAGAACATTTGGAAGAGCAGCCAGTGCTCTTAGCCACGGAGCCATTTCTCCAGCCCCAGGAAATAATTCGTAAGGAAGAAAAAAAAAATCACAAAAACTCTGAAACCAAGGGCTGGGGATACAGCTTAGTTGGTAGAGTGCAGTGCTCACAGAAAGCACTGGGTTCATTTCCCGCACTGTGAAACCATGCCTATAATTCCAACACTTGGGAGGTGACAATCAGAGATTCAAAAGGTTAAGGTCATCCTTGGCTATATAGTGAATTTGAAGCCAGCCTGAGTTACACAAGATCCTGTCGTCATCGTCGTGCCCACCCCCCCCCACCATGAAAGAAGGAAAGCAAACAAACAAGTATTAGAAATTTGGGCTTGCTTGTTTATTTCATTTTTGAGACAAGGTCTGGTTATGTAGCCTTGACTGGCCTGGGACTCCCTGTATAGATCAGGCTGGCCTTAAACTCAGAGATCTGCCTACCTCTCCAGTGCTGTAATTAATGATGTGTGCGACCATGACTAGCAAATATGCTTTTTATTGGTGAAGATTCTAAAATCCACTTCCATTACAGCACAGGCAGAGGAGAAAACAGAGCAATGCTGAGAAGTCATGGCTTGTGCTGTGTGACAACATACAAACCTAACCTGTGGGAAGGAGAGGAAACACTGGGTGCTGATCTGGAACTAGAAGTATTTATTACCCAACTTGAAAAACTAGCTCTGTACACCAAAAATGGGAGACTCCACTTTGCAAAGACACAGTGAGCCTATCCTGCCTGATTCAACTCAGGAACCCTCAGCAGACTTCTGATGCTGGCTGGCTAGGACAACTATAAAAAGCTGTGAACAACTTTCTGCACCTGAAAAATAATGGACTTAAGGAATTATTGTATGATGTTAAAAAGCATAGGCTACTGAAATTAGATTCCTTGTAATCACCTGATGCAAAACAAAACTTACTCTTCTAAAGAATATCAAATCCTTGTGTAAGACGCAACTGCACTTGGTTATCCCACACGAACTGCTGAGCATGCAAGAACACATGCCGGTTAGGAGCACAACATTCCCAGCCACCCACAAATTCTGTCATCCAAGTCCACACCCAGGTGCTGACCTAGGAATGGGAATCCTAATCACACATCATCAGAGCTACAAAGGCCTTGGACAGGACTGCACAATCCATTTACTTTGCAGATGAGACATGGCAAGCCAGAGAAGTCACATGACTGGCACATGCTCACATGCCAACACAGCAGGTGGGAGGTGTAGGAACACTCCAGGGCTCATCTAGCCTTGTTATACATGCCAGCATGGCTTTGTTACCGGCTCTCCATTGCTACTGCCAAGGTCAGAAGGGGAAACTGCAGGCATCCATCCCAGCACCCCACTGCTTTCCAACACCTTAAGCTGCAGCCGCCTGTTTAGTGTCAGGGAATTATGTCCCATCCTTTTTGAGTCTTCCTTCAAGGGCTGGCTGCCTCTGCCTCAGAAAAAAAAACATATATATGCAAAGGAAAGAATCCCTCTCAAACTCCAAAATCCATGATTCCACTTTCTATGTTTTCAATAACCTAAGCTATAGTAGGCCTTAACCAATCTTCAGATTATAATCACAGTGAATTAGCTCTTTGAATCGAGGAATAATTTCACTAGATTACATTTAGAACAGATTTTGTTTGTTGTTTTTTCTCTGTGTAGCCCTGGCTGTCCTGGAACTAGCTCTGTAGACCAGGCTGTGCTCGAAAGAGATCTGCTTGCCTCTGCCTCCCAAATGCTGTGATTAAAGTTGTGCACTACTACTACTGTCCTCTAAGACAGATGGTAATTAAGTCTGAAATGGTATTTAATCATGAAGTTTTCAAATATTTCAAAATTCTCAAAAATGCAGGGCTGATTTTCTCAGAAAGCCCTTAAAAGCTCAGCTCTGTATTTCTTAAGAATATAAGAACCATGGCTGTGGGCTGGAGTGATGGCTCAGTGGTTAGGAGCATTGCCTGCTCTTCCAACGGTCCTGAGTTCAATTCCCGGCAACCACATGGTGGCTCACAACCATCTGTAATGAGGTCTGGTGCCCTCTTCTGGCCTGCAGACATACACACAGGCAGAATATTGTATGCATAATAAAAATAAATAAATATTAAAAAAAAAAGAATCATGGCTGTGTTGCAGCCCCCACCCCCACCGTTTTGAGGGGGAGGGGCTTTCAAGACAGGATCTCTCTGTAAAGGCATGGCTGTCCTAGAACTCACTCTGTAGACCAAGCTGGCCTCAAACTCACAAAGATCCATCTGCCTCTGACTCCCAA